AAGCCTGTTGTTAGCTTAGGAAAACATGTCTCATATGACTTAATTGCCTTACTTGCTCAAACTTCCTTATTTGGATTACGTGTAGCATGCTAGGTTAGAAATACCTATTTTACCTTGGTATGGAACTTGAATTGAACTTTGTACTCTTCTTGTTGTTGTTGTGTGTTTACTTTGGGACTATGAGACGGTATCCCAGGAGATCCCCCTATAAGTTTACTTTGGGACTACGGAACGGTATTCCGAGAGATCCCCATGCACATTTACATTGGAACTACGGGACTCACCCGGTAGATTCCCCCTGTACTGAGTATTTATATTTGGGACTACGGATCGGTATTCCGGGAGATCCCCTCGCATTATGAGTTGGACTACGGGACGGTATCCCGGGTGATCCACTTGATATTTATATTTGGGACTATAGGACGGTATCCTGGGAGATCCCCGGTTGTTATCTTTATGCTGAGCTGTATTTCTTTCTGTGTTTACTTTGCCCCTGTAGTAGTTGTTGTTGTCCTTCATATCATGTGTTACTTTTACTGTTGTACTTATGTATACTGTTTTATTATACACTGTTAAACCTTATATTTTATTTAACCTCAGTAAGGCCCTAACCTTCCTCGTCACTACCCGACCGAGGTTAGGCTTGGCACTTACTGAGTACCGATGTGGTGTAATGCCCTTTCTGCGCATGTTTTTCAAGTGCAGATCCAGGTACCTCCATTCAGACTTATCACGCTTGAGATGAGACATTTGTAGAAACTCCGAGGTATATCTGCCGCGTCCGCATACCGAATAGTCCCTTTCTACTCTCCCTTATTAGCCCTTCTGTACTTTCATTTATTTGTTAGATATTCTGGAGTTAGATGCTTGTAGACATTCAAATGCTTGTGATCATGAGATTCCGGGTTTTGGAAAATATTATTAATTTCGATAGTTGTTATTGTGTATGCTGAACGACATTTTAAATACTGTTTTATTTCACTATTTTGGTTTTTAATTATTTCTTCCGCAATTGTTGTTTATATTCCGCGTTGTTAGGCTTACCTAGTTGTAGAGACTAGGTGCCATCACGATGGTTCACGGAGGGCGAACTAGGGTCGTGATAACTATGGAGCCTCTGGAATAATAGAAACAAGAATAATCAGGAAAATATTAACCACATTTTAAGTCCTAAGCTCGTGTTTCAACAAGTAATGGAATACAAACTCCTCACAGCCAAAGAGCAAAGTTTTGATAAGAAAAGCCTATCGCAGTCAGTTGGCACAAACCTCCTTCTGGGTGGTTTAAACTCAACACTGATGGAGTTTTTCAGAACAATAAGCGAAGCAGTGGCCTAGGCGGGGTCATCAAAAATAATGCAAGAGATTAGGTAGTCAGTTTCTACGATTATACCTACGCATCATCTCCTATCCAAACTGAGCTACTTGCTCTAAAAGCAGGCCTCTAGTTGGCATGTGAGCTTCAGCTCATTCAAATAGAGATTGAGACAGACTCGTCAGAAGTAATCATGAGCCTCGAACAAGGTTACCCTTTATATGACGCTATTATTCATGATTGCAAGTTTTTAATGCTCCGGTTAGAGACGGTGATGGTCGGGCATAATTTCAGGCAGGGAAATTAAGTGGTGCACTTTTTGGCTAAAGAAGCTTCTAAGCAGTCCAACCTACATCAACTGATGTATTTTGCAGCTCCACCTCCATTTGTTGAATCCCGGTATCTAGAAAATAAAGAAGGAACACATTTTATTAGACTTACTATAGATAATACTTGTATTAAGCTCGCGGAACTTGACAAACAAAATGCCCTAACAGGCATTTTCAATGGAATGTAACACTGTTAACCAACTTTAGTATTAATATATAAGTAGTTCCATTTCCTAAAAAAAGAATATTTAGTGGTAAAAGGTGAAAACATCACATAGTCTGTATGAGCTTGCTCACTCTGCAAATCTTCCACTCTAATAGAAGAGAATGGCTACATGAGATAAGTTCACAACTAAGAGGGTCATTATTGAAATAATCTTTTTTAGCTTAACCCAAAGCAATGCACAAATATGACGGATGGCTCACGAGAATTACTTAACTTAGGAATAACCATAAATTAGTCAACTTATAATGAATTTTTGCCATACAAAAGACGTTGAGCTATACTGACTTAGCACGTATCAAATAACATCCGGGATCTTTAAACAAATATCAGTTCTTTTACATTATTTATTTTTCTTAGCTGGTGTATATGGATTATCCGTTGATTGTACATAGTTATACTTATAATATACATGAATAATTCATATAATATATATACATCAGCTAGTTTAAGTTTAAGCAGTTGGGTGAACTGTTATTTAGATTAATTCTGCTAATTAAAATAGAAAAGAGCAGTGGTGAAGGATTTGTTTTAAGTCAGTAAGATAAAATAAAAAGTATTCATGTTAAAAAATAGGTCCAAGTTTAGTTTAATAACGAATGTGACGAAAAAGTATGCATATATAACCAAGACAGTACAAGATTAGAGTGTATTTAGTTGGGGGGAAATTATTTTTCAAAAATTAAATTATTTTCTGACAACCAAACACTAATAAAATATTTTATGAAAAAGAAAAAAACAATATTTTTAGCTTAGATATTTCTCCAATATTTCAATAAAATCATTTTATATTTTAAATAGTTTTGGATAGCAAGATAAAAGTTGTTCTAAAAAAACACAAGTATTAGAAACAATAGCTTGTAGAATATGAAATAAATTCAAATTATTAAGCCACTTAAGTAAGATCCTAGAAAGTTGATACTATGACGTACTATTGTTCATTAAGGCAACGTGACACTCGAGTTAGTTCATGAATTTGGCTGAATATTTGAGAACTAAAGTTTCTAATGGACAGATGCATGGATGTTATAAATGGCCACTTTTCTTTCCCTTTCTTGCAAAACACTTCCTCCGATCCGCCCAAGTTTACTTGTCCAATATTTACTTAGCACAACCCTTAAAAACTAATAAATAATATAATAATTTTACTATATTATCCCTATTTATATAAATTATTTAAAAATAAAATTTAAATAAGTACTCTTCAAACGATTAAGATGGATAAGTTACTAACAACATTTATTTAATATGAGCCACACAACTCCAAAGCAAATTATATATAAAAATGAGAACTTTAAGTTCAAACTAATTAGTAAATCATTAAGTTTTATTTTTTTCCTCTCTGGTAATATTTTGAAATTTATTCCTCGCTAGTGTAACTAGAAAGTAGAGTCGAAAAGCAGGGTGTGAAATGACAGGTATACCCATAATCAAAACATCATTTCATTTGGTCCTAAAACGACAACCTTTGCACTCTTAACACGCACTCCACAGTAACCCCTCCTTCCCCCTTCCCAAAATCATCCTTCATTTTATCCGTCCCCATTTTCAGATCAAAACCAAATTGCCCCTGAAAAAAATGGAACATCATACTACTACAAGCAGAGCTGAAGCAGAAAGATTATTAGGCGTTGCAGAAAAATTACTACGCGAAAAAGATTTCGGACCTTGTAAAGATTTTGCGCTTTTAGCCCAAGAAACTGAGCCTTTATTAGAAGGTCCAGATCAGATCTTAGCCATTGCTGAAGTTCTTTTAGCTTCTTCAAAACGAATCAACAATCACCACGATTGGTATTCTATTCTTCAAATCCAAAGCCGTACTGATGATTCTGAGCTAATTAAGAAACAGTATCGTCGTTTAGCTCTTCTTCTTCACCCTGATAAGAATAAATACCCTTCTTCTGATTCTGCTTTTGGTCTTGTTGCTGATGCTTGGGCTGTTCTTTCGGATCCTACTAAAAAGGGTCTTTATGATAATGAGCTTTCCCTTTTTAGTAGGGTTAATTTGGTTCCAACAAGAGGACGGCCTAAGAGTTATAATAAACAGCAAAAAAGAGGAGATGAGAAATTGCCTGTGAGAAGAAGCAGTAGGGCTAGTGGTGGGAGTAATTCGGGTCAGAACCAGAACCCGAATTCGAACCCGAGTCCGGTGAATTTTCAGAATAGGGTTCCGGTTCAGCCTCAGCAGCCAAAGACGGCAGCGACACCGGTGAGTGGTGGGATGAGAGGGCAAAGTGTGGTCAATTTGTGGACGGCGTGTCCGTACTGTTACAATTTGTATGAGTATCCTAGGGTTTATGAAGGGTGCTGTTTAAGGTGTGAGAAGTGTAATAGGGCGTTTACTGCAACTGAGATTTTGTCAATGCCGCCTTTGGTTCCTGGGAGAGAAGCTTATTATTGCATTTGGGGTTTTTTCCCAATGGGGTTTGTGAATGGGGATCTGGAAAATGGGAAAAGTCCTCCTGCTGCTGCTGGTGGTGGTGGTGCAGGATTTCCTAGTTGGATGCCACCTATGTTTTCGTCCGAGGGAAATGTGAATGTTGCAAATCAAAATGCTACTCCAATTCCGGTTCCTGCTCCAGCTCCAGCTCCAGCTCCGGCTCCAGCTCCAGTTCAGGCTCAAGCTCAGACTCAGACTCAGGCTCCAGCTTCGGCTCCAAGACCGATGTCAGCGTCAACGGGGGCTAAGAAAAGAGGTAGGCCTAGGAAGTATAACTAAAAAGGAATTTAGGGTTCATTTTATGGTTTCTAAATGAATTGCCTCAAGAATTTTGTATCTATGGAATTAACGTTTAGTCTGATCAAGTTGATTGGAATATGAGAATGCTGGAGGTTAAGGGGTCTTGAATTTGAGGCAGAAGGAATTGGTAAGGTTTACATTAGCCAAAAAATCCTTTTAAGTTTTATGCTGAAATGTTGTAGTGGAGTAGTGAGCAAAAGTAGCTGCTTTTCTTCATTCATATGATGAAGTATATATGCTGATCCCAGTATTGCACAAGTGTGCTCTTCTCATTGTAGAAAATTCTCTTGTTGTTGGTAGATTTCTTATGTTTGTAGAAATTTCTATTGTTGTTGGTAGGTTTGTTGGGTTTGTAGGTACTTTATGTTATTCAATTTTCAAGACTTGTAGCTGTAGACTTGCTTGTAGTTGGATGATCTTTTATTTCAAGAAATTCTCCTGTCTGTCTTAGTCGCATTTTTCTTAAGCATTCTTGCTATGTTTTTTTTCGTGGTAAAGTTTGATCTGGAACCTGAGCTAACTTTTGATGGTTTTCCTGAGTTCCTGCGTCTGTAATTCATCTTATCGAACTCATTTAATTCAACATTTCCGTGTAAAGGCAATATTTGTGCTTTAGCGTATTGGTCAAGTTTAGATGAGCCAAGAATCCTTTTTAAACTGAATGATCAAATGTTGTAGTAAGTGAGTAGTGAGCAAAATTAGCTACTTTTCTTCATTCATATGAAGAACAATATATATACACACACACGCTGACCTCAGAACTGCATAACGATGCTTCTTCTCATTGTAGAAATTTCTCTTGTTGATGCTAGATTTCTGGGTCTGTAGGTACTAGAGTATATGTTATTCAATTTTCAAGAATTGTAGACTTGTTTGTTGTTGAATGATCTTTGAATTCAAATTTCTAAATCCTATCTTGTCTTGTTCATATTTACCTAAAGTTGTTTTGGTTTGTGATTGAGGGGTAGTTGTCGTTTTTTGTTTTTCTAGTGGTAAAGTTTTGATCTTTACCGGAGGTAACGTTTAATGGTTTGCTATAATTCAACTTATTTTAGTCAATATTTCTGTGCAAAGGTCATGTTTGTGCGTTAGCATATTTGGTCATTCATTGTAGTACTATTCAAGTTTCTTCTATATTATCTAGTCATTCTTTCAAGTGTTTTCTTGTCGTCAGATTCTGAGCATGTTAAATTTTGTTGTACTGTGCTTTATCTCTGTCTTCTCTTTGCTCCCTTGAGCCTAAAAGTATCGACGACGTTGAGCTGGGAGATTTGCTTTTGTTCTATTTGATGTATGCACTAAGGAAATTCGAAAGGGGAAAGGCTCTTTTTTGCAGATAAACAGGGTCTTTAATTCGCTCAACTTCTAAAAGAATAGAGTTCCTTAAAAGAGTGGGTTGATCCAGGTCAAACAAATGTTTGGTTTAGGCTATTAATGAAGCGTTTAGTTTATGGTATATAACTCTTGAGATAATGATACAATATTTGGTTTTCAGTATAACTAATACCTTCATAAATTTTGAAAACGAATTTTTGTATTAGCCTAAGTGGGCCTTTGGACATAAGAATTGTAAAATTCCGATACAAGTAAAAAAAATAATATTCAAGTGAAAATTAGAATTGTGCTTGGACATGAATATAATTTTTGATTGTTTTTGAATTTTTGTGAGTTAACTAAGTGAAAATTTTGAAAAATAATTTTTTGGAGTTTTTCAAATTTTCGAAAAATTTCAAAATTTATCTTCAAGTAAGAATTGAAAAATTATGGCCGAACTGATTTCGAAAAATATTGAAAAATTTTTCGGAAAAAAGTGAAATTCTTTTTATGGGCAAACGGGCACTAAGAAAAGCTAATTCTTAATTTTTATATTGCAATCTCTCAAACTATTATTATTTATCGTATAATATTCATACTATTAGAAACTCTACAAGGTTCTAAAATTTTGAGGCCTAGTACGAGTCACGTCATCGCCTAGCCTTTGTAGCATTCCTGTAGTTCATGGATTCACCTTAACTGTAAACTTCCAAACAACCTTTTCTGCGCCATATTTACTAAGGGTGTCAAACGAGCGAGTTTGACTGAATTTGGCTTTACCTTTACCACTATCACCATGATGGAGTGCTGCTCTCTCACCCCGGCTGGTGAAAAAGACAGCTCCTGCGCATCTAAGAAATATATCATGATCTCTATCTGTAATGGGGAAAGAGAGTTTCTCTTGCTTAATAACATGGCGTCCAGGTTAGCTTGAGCATACCTCGTTTATTTCACAGCTACATGTATAAGTACCGGATAACATTGTTCACCTGGTAGACGAGAAACGCTTCCATGCTAATGCTAAACTGGTTACTATTTGGATAGGTTGACGTATAACACTATGATTCATCATTTAAACTGGTTAGAGACTTGGATGTCATATAGAGAGATAAAGTATGAGATCTAGCCAACTCCTAGTTTCTTTGAGTGAATTATTTGGTATTAGAATGAAATGGATCGGAACAAAGTGGTATGAAAACACAAGATTCATATAACATCCCAACTAATTCGGGATTGAGACATAGTTGATTGATTGATGCACTCTTAAAATAACACCAAAAAATGTATCTAGAATTCTAATTAAAAACCCCACCCCACCCAAAAAGAAAAAAAAATTATAACCCAGTTGATATGAAAATCAATCTCAATCCCTAATGAATTCTGGCGGTTCTGGAAATCAAGTTTGTGTTGTAATTTAGTCTTCAGTTCACAAGCTACCAATATCAAGATCTCGATACATAGTCAAAATAGATAGCACAAATGATATTCATGAACTTTAAAAGACTGTCAATAGACCAGAATTCTTGAAATGATAAAGCAAAATGTTAGAGCAATGGGCTAAGAAGACACTACAGAAGATTGTGAGATCCTAAGACACTCACTTTGACACCTTTTAAGACAGATATCGTTCCAGTTAGGCACTTGATGCTGATTAACACAAACAGTCCGAGCACATGCATCAGCACAAGCATCAAGCTCGGAAACACCACAAACGGTAACACAAGTATCTGGTGTCGGGTCTTTAGAAAATGCACCAACCTTCTTGAGCATCCTTTTTGAAGTACACACTCTTTCACAAACAAATATATCATCAGAGTTCTTCTCGCGTCCTCTCGCCCTCTTTAACCTCTCCTCCTCATCTCTCCTCTTTTTCATCCTGAAAGCTTGACCTGCCATTACAGCTGGCACAGCAGCTCCCACTAAAGACCACCACCATTCCACCATTACTTCTACCTGGAGAATATTTAGTCTTCAATGGTTCAACCTATTTTCTTGACGGCCTATGAATAGACGCACACAGACACATAAAGCAAGAATTAACATAACAGAATGACTTATCATAAAAATAAAAAATAAAAGGATTAATGCAACAAATCCATCCATATATCCAACAGGATCATGATCTTTTGGCTCAACCTGGAAATTAGAAGGCGTTAAGGAAAAACGGCAAGTGTACATTATGGGTTCCTCTTATGCTTTTAGCTAACTGAGGAATTTGAACATATCATTTATTCCTTATCATTGGTTCATACCTTTAATCAGTGGTTGCACATCTATTTGATGAAAAAGAAGGCAAAGGGAAGGGAAAAACGTTTGTTTGCTTCTTTTGTTTCACTGGTGGTGACATGAGTCTCTAGATTGGAAGTCGGTAGCACAATGGATGGCCACCGGAAAGTCTGTCTAGCTGTTATGCTTGACTTGAACAACTTAGATATCACAAAAACTTGCTAAGTGATATAGCAACGAGTAATAGCCATTGCTATTGTCGAAGAAGCTATTCTACTACCTATTGTTCCATCATTTATCATACAGAATCCAATCATACTGGCCAAATGAAATTGAATAATTCTTGTTAATCACGACTAATTTTCTACTCTCTGATGACAAAGTAAGCTCAGTACAAAACACAACGGTCCTGTCCCACTAGCCTACTTGCTAGCTATTTATATGCCCTTCAACACTTTGTTCTTATGACAGTAACTACCCTGGCCACAGCCCACAATTATATGCAAGCAGGACCTGTTATAAAAAGGGCACCAGAAAAGGCAAGTTGCGACTTATGGAACTAAAATCTTAAAAATTGCAACAAATAAATCCAAAGAATGACCTTTACTTTCTGCACATCACCATAAACATAAGTTGCGCTTTGCATCCTCCGACATTGATGCTAAACGTCAACTTAAAAAAGATTTTTTTGCTGCAATCTTCCCAGCATTCTTTTTAATCCAATGGCTTTTCCACCTCAGTCAAACAAAAAATTTGGAGCTTTCCTGATGGACCAGACGTACTTAAACCTTTCCTTGCAAAATTTATCTAAACCAGCTTCTTTTAGGAATGTGACTATTCCTTTTATCATCAATAGCTATGAAGTTATGGTGTCTAAGCGCTAGTAGAGTCACATTCCTGTAGAGCATGTTCATTGCTTACTAATGATTCCATGGATTACTGTTAAAACCTTATTCTCTTTTACTTAGTGAAGCATTAGTATAGACAGCGAAAGCATCTTTTTTAGCTCATCATTTCCTCAAACACTACGGATAAGCTATACCAGTTCAACTCACAAAACGAACTGATAAAAAAGCGAAACTAGAAAGCTCCAAAAAATCAGTACTCCGGATCTTTTCTTTTTATTATTTATTAACCTCTCCCTTTTTTATCGCGGTGGGGTAGGGAGGAGAGCTAGAAGATTCCTTGTCTTCATGACACTTCTAGCTGCTGAAAAAAGGACAAACGTCCAACACAGACCAAAAACAATCAACAAGAGACTGAAACATCTCCATGACCATGTAAATCTTCACTAGCATTAGATAGCCTATAGCGTTCTGCATCTGCAGTTGTGGCCTAACTGCAAATGAAACTGGAAATGATGGTAGGACACCGAGGTTCAAATTCCAGCAAAAGCAAAAAACGCTAAGTCATTTTTCTCGTGGATTGGACGAGGTACACACAAGTTGGCTCGACCACTACTGTTATTTAAATAAAAGAAAACCTGCGGTGTTCCTCTAGAAGTTGTCTAATGAGCAATAGCTTAATCTTTGAACTTCAAAACCACATTTTTAACCTCCCAAAATGCTTACAATATATATCGAGCCTCAACTACTTCAAGCCCTTACAGCATGCCCAAGACCAAACCCACATTCAAACACATTTGACCATCCAAGAAGAAGCAAATCATACTAACACCTCTGCATACCAAGCCATACCATCCCGTTCATTGAAGGTGCAGTGAATCATATCAATCCATTTGTTCATTCAACGATAAGTTATCATCTAGTTCAAAGTGGTAAAATTGTGCGCTCGGAAATGGGCCAGATGTAGATAGATTAAGAAAGCTTCAGGCAGATCTCCACTATGGCCTAATGCAAGGTTTTGGCAGCGGGTGCCTGCAGTTTGAACTATATATATATAACACATAATTGAATAATTTGGAAAATGTACATTATTGCTAAGTTTGCAGCCACTGCCACAAAGGCTAATGGGTGCAGTTGTATACCATTGACTTGACATTCTTATTCTCATCTGCTCACCAGGTAAGGGTAAACTAATGACTTAGTTAAAGAGATTTAGCAAACGTGTGCTAGCTTAATGGAGGGTCTTCCGGAAACATCCTCTCTGTAAGGCTGCATACATCTCACCCTCCCCAGACCCCACTTGTGGGAATTCACTGAGTTTGTTGTTGTTGTGCTAGCTTAGTGGACAAAGAATAACCGGAGCTAAAGCTTTGAACTTGATACAGGTAAATAAGGGGTTCATCAAACACTTTCCAAGAATTTGAATGTACATAACATCAGATGCCAAAAGAATATGTCAAAAGGACAAATTATGTGCAAATGCAGTTGCCCAAAGGAAGATATATATACATGTGTCATAGAACATCAAGAACATGTCAAATTGAGAGAATTTCACATATTATTCAGACAATAAAAACTTAATATTTAAAGGGGGTGGAGAAGCAAACACATACTGCTAAATAAACAGATTAATCAGCTAAGGAAATTGCTGGAAAACCTGAATGAGTGAGTCGGTTGTAGTAATAAATGAGTGAGTTTGTAGGGGAGTAGCTCTGATATTTTATCTTCCGTACTCAGACGGCCTCCTAGAAATAGGAAATCGACACCCCCTTGTGGCGTTTAACTCCAAGGTGCTCGGGGCTGCTTCAAACGATAATTATCCCTAGCTTTAGAAATTTTTTGGGGGTAATATTTGGTAATGACGAAAACGTTCCTGAAAAATATAAAAAAAAAAAAAAAAAAAAAAAAAAAAAAAAAAAAAAAAAAAAAAAAACCTAAGAGCTAAGCCATCCCCCCCACTTTGGTTTCTTCTTCTCCAAACCTTC